TCTCCGTCCGATCCTGTCCAGCGACCGCTGTCGGAAGCATTCGCGGCACCAGGATCGGCTACATCGAGTCCCTAACTCCGGGACTCTGCTCGCTGTGGCTCGATCCCAAAAAGCATCCGTGGGCACACACGTAAGCACACATGCACGGGTTCGCACTGGGGGCACACTGTGAACCGCACGGGGCTGGGACACTCGAAATTCGGGCACGCGGAAACACTTGCTCGTTCTGGAGTCGCGAAACGTGTCACGGGATCCTGGAACACTATGAGACGGACGCACGTCCCCGCTTTCTGGACCGTGGACACGAAGCAGCGCGCGGTTTACTGCGTGTTGGACGCCGCCAGGTAGGCTACCTCGGTGCACACCCACGCAGCCGAGGCACACGCATGGTCCACACGCACATGAGCACACAGGTAACCGTCCACAACTTGCCTGGGAGTCTTTCCGTTCGGCTGCCGCTAGTAGCGCTGCTGCTGGATGCTGTGCGCCGACTGCCTCGCTCCTGGCCGACGGTGTAACAGAGTCCGATGGAACTGGCCAATGGGAGTCTAACCGAGACGCAGGAGAACCTGGAGCTGGATCTAGCGATGGAGATGACCCCCATATCTCCGACAGAACAAGTCTATACCTTTTTGCAATGGTGAGTAATCCCGATCGGGCTAAACCACGGGTCTTAATCAGGACGTAGGTGGTAAAAAGCGTTGGATGCAAATTTATTCCATACCACATGCATAGTTTAGCTGCAATTTGAATTACATTTGCATGGAAAGTGTGGTCGAAGGTGCAAACAGAAGTTGAAGCAATTTGGAATTCTTATTCCGAGATAGGGACGAGTGGTATTGATATTGGATTAGCATTTACGACTTAGGGGAATGGGTCTCCGCTAATACGTTGTTATGATAAAGTTAGATAAGTACCGGAAATGTTGAAGATAACGACTGGTTGAATAATCGGCGCTGCGATCGGACGTGTTACTCGAACCGTACGCTTTCGAAGGAACAGTAATTCCGTTTGTGTGTTTTGAAATTCAAACATGCTATTTCGGTTTGATTCACTTTGCGATGTGATATAACTTGCGGTATTATTATTATTATTATCTTTACTATACCATAAGATGCCTCTAGTATCTAAGCTACTATAAGGTACCTTAAGATGCCTCTAGTTTTTAAGAGCAATAGTTCGACGCCTCTATAGAACATCCTAACAAATATTCTAACGACGTAACACCTCTAACGTGAAATTAAAGGCTCTAGACCCTACACAGTTACTCTGCATAACAGTTAGTAACGTCTGAACGAGAACGTTTGCTCGAAGCTCGAATCCGGATCGAACCCATCGCTAACAGAGACGTAGAGCAAAAGGGACCAGGTACGAAGGAGGGAGATCCACAAGTATCCTATCTACCAGTGCCTACGACGCGATGCCGCGCAGGTTGAACGCAGGAGGTTTAGGTAGGGACGTGGTATGAGGAACAGGTGCGTAATAGTAAGGCTTGGTGCCCCCTTGATCGATAAACACCGATCAGCAAATTTCGCTGGCAAACCCTCCTCTCTGCATAAACCGAACCTCTCCATTCTCCCTTGCGTTTCCAAAGACTCTTCCAACTAACCTATTCGACGTACCGCATTCGGAACTCTGAAGTAGCATAAATTTTACGTTTTCTCTCGTTCGATGAACGCGTTCATAGCTGAATCCCGAAGGAAGTAGTCGGGCAGGATCGTATTATTTATTGGAAAGGTATCGTGTCAGGCTCGAAACGCGGAAGGTAAAAAAATGGTGAGGCAGGTTGTAAGTCCACCTGTAGGAAACTCGCGCGGCGCCGGCACTGAAGAAGGAGATCGGTTGTTGGTGGGCGGGAAGAGGAGAGGCCAGCGGCCAGAGGCACTCAGAGAGATCGAGCCTCGGTCTCTTTCTCTCCCTCGACCCTCTTCGCTGCTCTCTTTTTTCCTCCCCGAACGTCCAGTCTATCCCTCTCTCCCTCCTGCCTTTTTTCCGCTCTTTTTTCATCTCCGTCTCTTTCCGCTGGCAGCAGCCGCCGACGCCCAGCCGGTTTTACACCGGCGAATCGATCCAATCGAGTGTCTCGGAAGAACCCGGCTGGTTCTAGTTCATGGATCGTGGATTTCGCTCCACTTGCCTAGAACAACCGGCGTAATTGTTCGTCTGGGTCCCGGGATCTGGCCCGATCACCCGTACGCTTCCTCGTGACGATCATGAACAGGAATAGCTTGGCCGCGCGAGAGACCGAACCGCGACCGTGAGACGCGAACACGTCTCATTCGTTTTGGACCTGAAAACCTTTCGTTTCGTTACAGTGGCAACGTGGATTGCCACAACTCGCGGTATACGAGTATTCCTACCGATCGAGACCGAGTTGTCTGTCCGAGACTGGTTTCTCGGAGTCTCCTCGCCGCTGGAAATTCCTACCGTACGAACGTACGCTACGATAACTGTCCACTTATAACTAGATCGACGATCTTTATGCAAATTTAGATTTTTGTTATACCGGTGGCGTATTCTGTAATTAACAGAGAAAAATATTATGGGGATTCTTTGTTTGGTATTATGGAAACATGTTATGGTTGATGCAAAGTTATAATGGAAGTAAATTATTTTTTTTTGGAGAAGTTGTCTTTGTGATAACAGAGTTGGCATTGTTGAGAAGTCTATCGTTATTCGAATTTCTTGATCTTTTTATTTCAGTGAATACTACATTAAGCAAGAGAGTAGTCATTCATAATTCTTACAAAAAATATATGTGCAAAAATATGTGCGAAGTATAAATGTCTACATGTATGGATCAAAAATGTATGTAACAAGGAGTATAACAAACGAGGAGTAAATAGTTACAACTTTGAAATGAAACACATATGCTAATATGTTCATGTGATATTTCTTACTTATACTTTTTCATACATACATTGACGTATGCTTACATCGTTTGGTATAAAAATGAAGCACCTGTATATTTAACACTTGTGTATCATACAATCACCTTACTTTAACCTCACTTTTTTAAAAACATATTCCACTTGCATCAAATTTTAAGGAATCAAATTTCTAAGCAATACAAAAATGAAAATTTATTTTCAAATTAAGTACCCTTCAAAATTTGACAAAATGTAACAAAATTGTAAACAGTCAATTAAGAATGTTATTCAAATTATTTTCTGAAAATCTTCCTTATGAAATAACATAAAAAAGAAATTTGCAAGTAGATTTCTAAACATAGTAAAAGAGTTAGTCACTAATTAAACGTTACTAATGATCATGGAAACCGAACCGATGAACGAACACGTGTTCCGGTTTACGATTACAGAAAATCGCGCTGCTTCGGAGCAAGCCGATAGTTACATCTTTCTCGCGAAACTTGTTTATCTAATCGTAATAAGACCAAGAAATGGCGTCACACTGCAGGCTATTCCTGCAAATAACTGTCGTTACAATTTTTTAACTGCACACAACTGTAACTTTATCTCTAAATGCGTTTTACAGTTACCTCTGTTTCTTAAACTATTTCCTTGCAGATACGGAGAAGTAAATGAGCTGTGCAGAAGCTGTGGACTAATTCTTTGGGAGATAAAAAATTGAGGACACTAAGATGAACATTGTGGAAATTTAAATTTCATCGAATATATTAGGTTAACACGATTTCTTTTGTTTGTACTTAATTTACATATAGGTGAGGGTTAGAGAATATTTTCGTAGAAAGGTTAAGGGTTACATTAGGGTGAAGTTGGAAAAAAATTGTGAGAGGGGATGATTATGTACCATGAGTTGTTGATACAATTTCCTTTGAAGTTAATATTTGTTGTCACACATCAAGATTGAATATTTTCATGAAAAATTAAGGGTTCAAGGTCAAATTTAAGGTCAAACATAGACGTTTAAGGTCACGGTTATTGAGATTTTAAAATTTTTTCATTCTGAAATTTTGGGGTTTCTGAATTAAAATTAAAAGTTTGAGAATTTTAAGGTTTGCATATTTGTAAACTCTCAAGGTTGCGAATCCACAAAGTTATTAGTCCAATTGCTAAATTTCCAAATTTCCAAATTTTCTAATTTCTACATACCCACATCCAAAATCCTCAAATTCCCAAATTTCTACATCCCCAAATTCCCAGATTTCTAAGTTTCCACATTCCCAAATTTCTACATCCCCAAATCCCAAAATTCCTGAATTCTCAAATTTCCTAATTTTTACACTCCAAATCCCAAAAATCACCAAATTCCAAACTCCCTTAATTTCTACGTCTTCCAAATTCAAGATCCCCAAATTCTAAAATTCCCTAATTTCAAAATCTCCTAAATATGAAATCCTTAAATTTCCAAATTCCCAAATTTCTACATCCCCAAATCCCAAAATTCCCAAATTCCCAAATGTCCTAATTTTTACACTACAAATCCCAAAATCACCACATTCCAAACTCCCCTAATTTCCAAATCTCCCAAATCCAAGATCCCCAAATTCCAAAATTTCCTAATTTCAACATCTCCCAAATATAAAATTCCTAAATTCTTAAATTCCCAAATTTCTACATCCCCAAATCCCAAAATTCCCAAATTCCCAAGTTTCCTAATTTCTACATCCTAAAATCCCAAAATACCCAAAATCCCTAATTGCCACTTAGCTTTATATCCACATCTCCAAATCCCCAAATTCTCAAATCTCCCCATTCCTCAAATTCTCAAATTACCAAAAATCCAATTACCAAAATTCCCTCTGCCATCACACAATTCGTCACCCACATAACAAAAAAAAAAACAAGAATCGATACACAGAATCAGTGAAAGTCGAAGTAAACGAAATCAGAATCGAAATTCATTGAGCCCGTTCACCG